GTTCAATATTGTTTCATTTGTGGTGGAATGCATGACATTGATGAATGTACCACACCAGATGACGAGAACATGAAGGACACCCTATGGCGCATGAGATTGATCATGGACCAGAAGTCCAAATCCCCATCGTCTTCGGAAAGATCCAAAGCTGCGACAAGAGGCAGAAAAGACAAGCTCCCGAAGAACGTCATGCCACGAGGAAAACGTTGGGGAAGAACCAGATTCACTGAGAAAGAAGAAGTGACCAAATGCTTCTACAGTCAGTCAGCCTTTATGTACGACATTGGTGATCGTGAAGAAGGAGGACAGTACTTAGTGAATGGCGTCGAAGTCAACCCAATTAGCCGAGGTGTGAAGAATCGTCACGAGCTTGATATGCTGATTGAACGTGCGGCTGAGGAATCCCCGCCTGTTTTGCCGACCATTGAGGAGCTGAACGCTTGGAACCCCATTGATCATGATGCATATGTGAAATGGCTTACTGAAGAAAGAAAACACTATGGAGACAACTGGAATTTCAAGTACATCCAACCATTCACACATGGCCACAACATCGGCACACTGCAACTTGCTCGCATCAATGGAGAAGAATATCTTGGATATGGATGGAGTAATGTGCATCGATATGGCGAGAATGAGTGGATGGGCAACAAGTGGGAAAATCCGCAATGGATAGTCGAATTGTCGAAAAGATTCAATGCAGCGCTACGCCACTCCGTGGGTTGCGTCAAGGACAATCGAAATCACCGTGGACTACCATGCGATGAAGCAGGTTGGGCCAATGTCGAGTCGATCTTGAAGTACGACAACATTTGGAGAGACCAACATACATTGGCTGGAACGACCCACGTCAACTACCCAATACTTGTTGAGAGGTGGAACAATTTCCAGAGAGCGATCTTCACTGAGTACAAGCAAACGAAAAGAATCCGAGCCCAAGTGCTAGGACTCAAGGTCACAAAAGGTGAATTGGAATACGTCATGAACAACTTCAATGATGGATTGACCTCGAGACTTGAACGACACACACTGAGGTTGGAGATCGGCACAGCAGATCGAGAGATTTGGCTATGGCCGGTGGCAATCCGAGCCCCTATGGCACATTCAAGAGTTCAAGGCGGTGTGCACATCGAAGACAAGAAGACTTCCTATCAGATGAACCCTGGAGTCGGATACACTCTTGGAGGAGGATTTCACTGCACCACTTTTGACAACATCGCTCAAATCTTCAGAGAAGGACTACGTCCCGGAGGAGGAGGCGACCGCATCAATACGTTCTTCGTGCCATTCGCACCGTGGGACGTGCGAAGTCAGACGGTGCTGAGATTCAGAAAGATTGAACAAACTGATCTTGTCTACATCTACATCACGTACGATTCAATCGCCAAGTTCTCCCCTCGATTGTCAGCAGACGGACACATTTTGGTCCAAGAAACAATTCCATTCGAATCATTCGATGCAGTTTGGTACTATGATTGGAAGGAAAAGGACTACTACCGTCTCATGATCACAAAGGGAAAAGATCAACTTGTACTTTCTGTGCAAGGAGCTAGGAGAGTGGCCACCATTGAACGATTTGACAAACTCATTGGGAACATTGTGCCTCATGAATCATCACCCGATCTGAACGAACTTCGAAAGCTTGTCGATATCAAGACCGGTCACTTCAGTCATGCTCACAGATTGTTCCCTGGACATCCGGATTGGAATGATGCAATATCATTGTTAGCAGTCACTCATCATCCTAGCAAGGAGGACCATCGACTATGCCCCGCATGTCTGATGGAGACCCCTGCACCATTATCGATTTGTGTGATGTGCAAAGGATTTTTGGTAAGTCATGGATGGAGGAAGCGAATCAAGATCACCGTGGCTACTGTACCAAGTGCCGAATCACGTCCTCGAGAAGAAGATCTCAAAGACCATGTCAAGAAAACATGGGAAGAAGTGAAGATCGATTTGACAGGTGAAGATGATGACGACGAGCTGATGCAAGATGATGATGACGTCACCATGAAGAGTCCAGAACAAGAACCTCAACCAGAAGAAGAAAATGATGATCAAGCCTCGAAGAAGGGCGACGTCAATGATGAGAGAAGAGACTTCAGAGAACAAGATGAGGTCGATAAATTTCTCAATGAGGAAGGAAAACAAACTGATGAGAACGACGATGAAGAAATAGAGGTCGATGAAATCAACATCGAGGAGTACGAGGCTGGAGAAGCTCATGATGCAGTGATTGAGTACCCCAAGTGGATGAAGAGGATTGAGTTTGGATCAAAGGTCCTACCAATCGAGCCTTGTACAATTGGAGATGCTCAGCCGGAGCTCATCAAAATCCTCCTGTTACAGATTGGGTTGCATATCGTCAGGATCTACAGACTATTCCAACGGAACTTCTGTGGAGACATCGAGACGGCATGGAAACACTTTCAACAGAACCGAAAATTCAGGATGGACTTGGATTCAAGAGTGCCATACCTAGGTGAGGATGAAAATGGTGAACTCATCGAACCAAATGCACAACAGATGAAAGAGCTCTACCAGGAAATCGGCCGACCACAACAAAAGGACGACATCTCGGAAGAGGGATTCGTCAATGCATACTATGGGGCGGTGGTACTCAAACGACTTCTCGTATATACCCTTGAATGCGGCTACACATATGAAGACTTGCAAAATATCTTCTTCGATGAAGAGATGGAGAAACTGTCGAAAAATGACTCAACAAGGGACGAGATGAGAAAGACCACAGCCGCTCGCGAAGCCCTTGACCGACAAGATGTCCTGGTCAGAAGAATCATTGCAGGTGCATACAGAGTGAATGCTGTTTATTTCTTCAGGAACGTCGACTTTCAAGACACGATCACACTGAACCCAGTTGACATTGTGTGCGCTCTTCGACCTCCACTTCGAAGAATTTCAGTTTTGCATCTGATCCTTCAAAATGGCCGACAATTGCCACGACCTCTACTCCAAAGGCTGTATGATGCAATCAACGACTACAACCACATCAAGCAACGGGATGATCAACGGCCAAGATGGGGCATCCACATGACAGAAGCCCACTTACTTGCGATTGCTGATACCCCGGTTCCTGCCGATCGTGAACGTGCTAACCCGGCCGCTGGCAAATCGAAAGCAGCCCCGAAGGCAGCACCAGCACTGGGCAGAGTGTCAAAAGCGAAAGCATCATCATCAGCAACATGGAGAACCGTCGAAGCTGCTCCTCCGCCAAAACAAGCTCCAGTAACCCCGCCACAGAAAGGTGGAAAAGACCAAGAGAAAGGTGGAAGATCTTATTCACACCGTGGTGGCGACTGGAACCAACATGGATACTATGGATGGGGATATAGATGATAAATCGATATGACCTCTGCATAGGTCCTGATTGAACCTGGCGAAGCGTGGCAGCAATCATTGCTCGAGATTTACCTCTACTTCATTTCGAATGATTTCTGAGAGGACTCTGAGCCGGCTAATTTAGAACCATATTTTTTTGAATATCATTGCACGAGACGCTGAGTTTCTACAGCGGTCTACATCTCAACCGACGAAGGAACGGGAAGGTAAACTTCTAGTTCCATAGTCATGTTTGTAGTTGGATTTTTTTAATTCGCATGCTTGAGTGGGATTCCATGCTGGCTACGCCACATCGGATGAACCTCAATGCTGTACACCGACTACGTCGTGTCAGCATGCACGTGAACAGAACCTTTTTTTTAGGTAGAGATCGTAGCAAGCCGCCATGTAGATTTGAAGTTCTGAACGGACTTTAGCTCTCCATAATTCAATAAATGAATAGCTGCAGATGCATTGGAACGATTTAAGGGACACTCCTTTGCGCGTGGCCAACAAAGTTGGCCATGCGTGGGGGGTGCGAATGGGATGTAGACTACAGCGTTATACATACTCCCATGTAAATATTCCCTTAATCATCCATGACCAAAGGGATGCATGAAATGCCCCTTTGGCTCAAGACAACTGCCAGCCCCCGTGAGAAAATAAAGCAATGCCGAAACTGCCACTCCTTCGTCGTCGTCAGTGAGAGAACAACTACATTCTCGAACATCCAAGAACACATAATCGGGGAGATAACCTCCGATTCACATATACTAATGTAACTATGCAGCTGACGACACATGCATAGTTGTCGAGAACAAACATACCAGTGCCAGTCACGTGACCAGAGCCACCTCAGAGGATGATTATGGTGATCCTTATCACTAAAACACTATTGATCATGAATAAACACATCCATCATCATGATTATCATTGTTTGCTTTTAATGTTTGACGTCTTTGAAGATGATGATGATGATGATGACGACGACGACAATGATGATGATGATGATGATGACGACGACGACGACAACGGTGGTGATGTGATAATAATGATAGTGGTGGTGATGATTATTGCTACACAATTCAGAAGGATGGGATTTACATAATAGGAACATATGTCAAGGTTAGATTAGTTGTATATACAGCAGTATGTCATCCCAAAGTCTGAATTCTCTGATTTGTTCGATCAATGGATACACGCACACATACTAAGCAAGCAAGTGCTGGTGAAGTAAGAATTACACAGTGATCATTTGTTGCACTATTGTCTTGAGCCTTCTATTTTTGAAAGCACCCTCAAAGATTTCAACAAAATCAACACTGTATTACCTCTGCAGTTTCTATGAAGTCTTTGAGATGAAGATGCAGTTCATGTCAAGGGTCTCCTGACATGCTGGGCAGCTATCAAGATTAAGAGTCTTGAAAGGAACTGCTCGTCTAGTCCAAGACTTCCCCCTCAGATCTTTTGCTCGCAACTGGTTTCGTGTCAAAAATGCGACCACAGACCAGCAATGTATCCATATAATGACAGATATATACAGTATATATATATATTATGTCCTTTAAAATTATTATATAGTTTATCATATATAGTTTATCCATGTTCGAATCAAACCCATTCTGGTTCCCCAACTTGACCTGATTTGACGATGTCAGGCCTTCATTGGACTGGCGGATGTTCCAGACATTTACGCACTTTTGCACCTCGGGCTGACCATCGTTGTGGCGATGCAGGTTTGGAGGTTTGGTTTTCAGTGCTCCGTGCATCTTGATCTTGACGCGTAGCTAAAAAAATCGCCAGTACCTTTTAAAAAAGCGCTCTATTGTTCAACTGTTTAGAATCACCGTGCAGCTTCCGATATCTTGACATCAGTCTGATAATCTTTGAGATTCTTTGCGGCCCAAGGGCGGCTGGAAGCAAGTTGGCATGAATGGAGACACTTCAGCAAGCGTCGCCATTCAGCGAGCGCGACTATACCGCTGGGATTTCGCGCTGCAGCAGGTCCAAAGAATGGGAAGATGCTTGCACACTATTTGGTGCGATGTTTCTTGCCAGACTTCAACCCAACGTATTTGTTTACAGTGCGACAATCAGTGCTTGTGAAAAGGGAAGTCAATGGCAGCAGGCATTGAGTTTTTTCAGGGCCATGCATGAAGGGAAGGTACAGCCAAACGTGATTTCGTACAGCGCGATGATCAGCGCTTTTGAGAAAGGTGACGGGGGTCAATGGCAGCAGTCACTCAACTTATTTGACAGAATGATCAGTACAACCGTTGAACCAAACGTCATCACTTATAACGCAATCATCAGCGCTTGTGAGAAGGGCGGGCACTGGTTGCAAGCTTTAAACCTTTTCATGGCAATGTCACAAGAGAAGATTCAGCCAGATGTGATAAGTTTCAATGCAGCCATCAGTGCATGCGAAAAGGGCAATCAATGGCAACAGGCATTGAATGTCTTTAGTGCAATGCCTATGGCTACAGTGCAGCCTGACGTGATTAGCTACAGTGCAATCATGAGTGCTTGTGAAAAGGGGGCACAATGGCAGCAGGCTCTCAGCCTTTTTGCAGCAATGTCTTCTGCCAAATTGCTAGCCAATGTTGTGACTTTTGGCGCAGCCATCAGCGCTTGTCAGGGCCAATGGCAGCAGGCCTTAATCCTTTTCGAGGAGATGTTGATGGTCGAAGTGGAGGCAAATTGTGTTTGCTTTAGCGCCAGCATCAGTGCCTGTGAGAAGGGAGGGGAATGGCAGCCAGCATTGGTCCTTTTCAGCCGAATGCTCATGGCTAGAGTGCGGCCAAATGTCATTGGTTGCAGCGCCACCATCAGTGCTTGCGAGAAGGGCAGTCAGTGGGAGCAAGCACTGTATTTCTTTGAAGATATGCCCGCTGAACAGGTGCAACCAGACGTCATTGGCTTCAGTGCAACCATCAGTGCTTGTCAAAAGGGAGCTCAATGGCAGAAAGCGTTGAGTGTCTTTGCAGCTATGCCAGAGGCAAACGTTAAACCAAACGTGATCAGCTTTGACGCTGCAATCGGTGCTTGTGAGAAAGGTGGTCAGAGGCAGATGGCATTGATTCTATTGGAGGAAATGCGTACAGCAGGATGCAATATACCCAGCTGAAATATCCAACTACGGATTTCCGAGTTCTGCCCCATCTTCAAGTCTGGTTTCAAAACGTTTCGAAACCACCGAAATGGGGACAGAACTCGGAAATCCGAATATGCCTATATGCATAGCTATGCTGGTATAGGCCTCCCAAACTCGCAGCTTTCTGCGGCATCTTCATCTCGTGGTCCATCAAGAATTTGGATCTGCGCTGGTGAAAAATAATCGACAAACATGACAGATCGAATACACTTTTATTTGGCATGGAGATTTATTGGTTGGCATCCTTTTTTGCTTTGAAGCGCGAAACACTCCTCTTCAGACTACCAAACGAGCCGCGGAAAGCAAGATCAGCGAGCTTACTAACTCATGGCGGAGCTGCATCTTTGGAGGGTCTTAGATGAACATCAAATATCTTCAAGACTTTAGAAAATCTGCAACTTTGCACTTCACCGTTATCTTACCTTCGTAGCAACGTCTACTAAGCAGATGTGCAGATTCACCATCCAATATCATGACAGGTCATAACCCCTGGACCCATATTCTTGCTGTTGCTCCCATGATTACGTTTATGTCATTTTATGTCACGGGAAATCATTTATCAATATTTTATTCATAGTGGCGAAGTTGCTTTTGTAATCAAATTGAGAGATATAAACAACCCTTTTTCCAAACTTGAAATATCTTTGAATGGACAGTCTGGTATCTTCAGCAGCCCAGGCGAAGATTGCGAGAACACCTGGGGTATCGAGGTGAAAGAAATGCGGCAGGAGCTCCATACAGCTCCAACATTTACCAGTCTTCAACCAGCAGACATGACCATTTAATGTGTGCCACAGTCAACTTGGATGATATTACAGACGTTGGGGGGGTGGTTTATCAATCCGTTAAGACTTTATATATTTCTGGGTAATTAGATGGAATCAACGGGGGTAGAAGTTGCCATGGAGCAGCTTCTTCCAGTGGTGTCCAATAATTATCCCTTTCCAACAGGAAGCCTTGGATGATCCACTCACTCTTCAGGAGATCGAAAAGGTGCAAGATAGCTCGGGGCACCCAGGGAATTGGCAAAACGGGGATCGTGTTTTCCGTCATTCTCTCGATGGTCATTTGTGTTGCGGTGAAACCGCATTTGGTCTCACCAAAATGATTCCGGGCAAAGCGGCTGCCGGTAGTGCCGCAAGCTGCATGTCTTGGAATGTCACCTGAGATGTATGAATTCATGAGACAATTATATAGATAGCAAGATGATGCAAGATGTAGCCAGGTCCACGTCCGTTCAGCATAAGATTGATCTGTTGCAGGCTTTAAACATTCTTGAATCAGGAAGACGATCTCCAGGATAGATGACCTGCCAGATATCATCATCATCATCATCATCATCATAATCATCATCATCCAATATCAATCCAGTGAAATCATGTAAAATCCAGTAGATCTATGGATGGCTTACCTTCATTTACCTTCCACTTGATGCAGCTTTTCAGCCAAGGTGTGGTGATGGCAGCCATGCGGCTCTACAAATACACGCCCCTTGCTGATGCCAAGAGGGCCAGGCTGAAGATGTGATTCATCCATCAGGTGGTTATAACATGTTATAACTTATAATATGAACCATTAATTGGTATGTATGTCTGCGAGTACAAAAAACACGTATACAATCCTATACATATAGTACATTGTATACACATTGTGGGATGATAATGATAATTATACGGGCAAACCCCTCAGTTTGCCCGCGCCGACGCCGACGACATGTCCGAACATCAAAAAACACTGTGTTTTGTGGGACAAAATGCACATGTCCATGATCATGGCTTTCATCTTGCAACGCACAGCTTAGACAGCTGTGCGTTGAATGGTACTACAACAACAACAACAACAACATCATCATCCTCATCATCATCATCATCCTCATCATCAACATCATCAACATCATCATCATCATCATCATCACCATCATCATTATCATCATCATCACCATCATTTTCATCTTCACCTTCATCATTATATTCCCCATCCCCTTGTTGATCTTCCCAATAGAATGTAAAGTTCAACGGGGGTGGGAATTGATATTCCTAATACCCTTGTTGATCTTCCCAATTGAATGTAAAGTTTAACGGGGGTCGGAATTTATATTCCTTCAAAATCCCTAAGAAGTTGTGTGGGCGAACTGGGGGGTTTGCGCGTAATTATACAACATTATTCACCCAAATATTTTCATATATAATTCATATATAGTGCATTGTGGGTATAACATTATACCAGAAAATGTTGTCACAGCTTTGCAATAATGTTTAGATCCATGGCCGGGCTGCCCAGGTTCGCAGCCGCGAACCTGACACCAACTCAAGGCAAAGAACTGTCCTGTTGGTTTTGGGGGAGAAATCAACCATTACTGGAGGGTTCATGGTGATTCTATGATGATTTTATGGTGATTTTATGGACTTTTCAATGAAATGTTCATGAAGTTCCATTTAGTGGATTTTTAATGAGCAAAAGGATATGTAATGGAGACTTGATGGTGATTTGCTGTTGTTTTTTTAAATGGAGTTTTAATGATAATAGAATGGATGATCATCTGGATGAATTATGACATACAATGACCACACTATGACGACACTGGAGTGATGGAACTTGATTACGGGGAATCATACCCAAAATGGCCAGAAATGATTGGAGGTTTAATGATAACAATAATGGGCAGTTTGGGATAGTTCATAATAAATATGTACTGATGGGAATAACTAACATCTCCGATGATGATAATTAATGATAATAATAATGACCAGAAAACAATATCATCAGGTTACTGAATGGTGATCTGATGGGATACGTACTCAACAAATATGATTCATGTGTCATAGAGGGGGTCACAAAATGATCAGAATACATGGGAATGTAAAGGCATAGGTCATATTGGGAATGTATTTTGCATATACACATCACCAACTATCTAAAATTGGATGTGTCGAGGGAAAATGATGATAGACTCCATCAATTTTTGGGGGTATCCTTTGTTCATATGATTTGCAATACTGAGGTAATAAGATACTGAGGTATCAAAAACTATCACTGGAGACATGTTTGAACATCACCTGGGTAATCAATACATTATGTTTCACAGCCATGACAGAGAAGATAACAACATGAGTTTGTCTAAAAGTGAGGAACCCAAGAAAATCAGAAAATCCACTGCTTACCCTCTGGTAATTAAACATAGCCATGGAAGATCACCATGTTTGATAGAGAATTCATCTATATATATAAAATTGAATATATTTTCCATATCATCTATGTTTGATAGAGGATTCATCCTATGTTTGATTTTGAATTCTCTATCATCTCCTTTTTGAATTACCTTCGGTTAATCCTCGGCGTCGTTCCTTTTCCCATTCGTCAATGACCAGAAAAACTCGAGTATCCCGCAGTGACAGGCCGCCAAGTGCCGCGATTTAGCGATGCCAAGGCACCGCAAATGATCTGGAGCTATGGACTATACTTGTGGGTAATTTAACATAGTCCATAGTGCCATAGTGTAACTGAAGGTGGTTAATCGCGAATGGATTATAATTGTGGGATTTTCTACTTGTAGCTATGTTAAATTACCAGAGGGTGTCATGATTTGCTGTTCATGGTTTGTCGAGAATTTGTTCAGCAACTCAGTTTACGGTCATCAACAGCAAAAGATCCGGTAAACTCAGTCAACCAACAAGTGAATCACTGGGTGTTTCTTAAAATTGGTGGTATATAAACGGTATATAGTGGTATATGGTGGTCATATTGTATCCCTTTTCACCAGTGATGATTGTCCAGTTTTTTTTCCGGGAGGCATTCCTGGAAACCTTCACGGCCTGAAAGAGGGGCTGAAGAGGTTGGATTTTTAAGATGTCCATTGCTGAAGTGGAAGAAACTGACGTTTATCGTGTTGTGATTATATCATATTATATCCACTCTAAATTTGGAAATAGATGGAAATAGCATCTTTCTCAAAGCAAATGCTAGAATTTTGGGATGGATGGACGGATGGATGGATGGTGGATGATGGACACGACTGTTATGTTCCTGATGGTTGGATTCACATCCGAGCTATGTTGCCACAAACCTATTGCAGGTTTCCTGCCCAAAGATGGCTGACCTTGTTGCCGGTGCCATGATTAAAAAGGGTTGGTCAGTTGGTCCAGAAGTGGGAATGGCCCCCCTATGTGATGGCCGCGGGGAAAATGGAATGATAATGAATGATAAACCTCAGTGGTTTTGGGGGTGCCGTATTTTCGGTCAAACTCAATAGAGTCAATAGAGATTCATCCAATGCTGGTTTCTTTTGTGATTCTTTCCACAGCTTAGTACGGGGATCGAGGGAATGTCAAAGTCAACATGGTCCAGCAAGGAAAGATTGTTCCACGAAAATACGAATACGGAGCTTGCGACAATATCTTTGAACATCCGTGTCTCTTCGAAGCAGATATAATTTCAAAAGAACTTGTTTTTGTCAGTATCTACATTTTTTTGAAGAGGTCGGAACTCTTCATGCCATGGCATCCAGGGTGAACATGGGTGAACTACCTCCGTGCTGTTTTCAGCTTCGGGATCAAGTACTGCATCATGAGTCATTTTTGGCACAAAAACATCTGTAGTTTTCAGTGGATTGAGTATCAACGGCTGACTTACCAGAGGGTATATTTAATATTTCAACCATAGATCATTATAGATCATTAATATCAACCATTGATTAATCATTAATAGATCACTAACCATGTTTATCATTGTCATGTTTATCCAAGGATTGGAGTGAGCTCTTGCAGGTCTAGGGAGCTTTTTTCAGCCGACGGAAGAAAAACGGTCCTTCAAGCTTGCCGGCTGCGCCCAAACTCTTTAGCCAGTAAAAACAGAGAGAGAGAGAGATAGAGAGAGAGCCCGGACTCTTAAACCTGGACAGTTGGATAATTTTGGAACATCCAAAATATTCCAAAATGGAAGAAGTTTGAAACGTGACACGTCCAAAAGTTGTAGCCAAGTAGGGATGGTGGATCAATAGTCACGTGGATTCCATTGCAACCTGCCTAGCTGCAGTGGGAGGAACGCCATGGCACGGCAACAGCAAGGGATGCAGAGGCCAAAGAGCCGTTGGAGCATCAAATGGTCCGAGAAGCACATCTTCAAAGCAGAACAAGAAGGCGATGCACGGGGGCCGCAGGGGAAGGCGGGAGAAGGGGAACCAGATATCCATCATCTAACTGGATGGCAATCGCTCCATGCATACAATATATATGTACTGTAATATACGAACCGTATTTACATATAATTATATATATACCCGTATCAGTGAACATTTCAAACAGCTAGGTCTTGGGGGTCCCATATATATATATTATGTATATATATATATATATTTATTTATGTATACTATACATTATGATAATACAATATAGTAATAATACCTAGCTATGTAATATGTATGTATATAATTTGATGAATAGCATGTGTCATGACATTCGTGGAGGGAAGCAGTTTGAGGGAAGAAGTGAGCAACTGTTGGTGTATGTTGTCCACGGGGAGCACGCTGGGAAAATACATAACTTATGGGAAATTATAACTTGAAGCTGCCAACGGTCCAATTGCCATGGTGTGGCCTTGGGCAAAGAATCAAAGAATGGAAAATCCTAATCGCTTGAAGGAACCTGGCGATTAGACAATGACAAGGCTAGGCAAGAGTTATGACAAAGATGCATCTCAGATGGTCTTTTGTCGCTTTAAGTCGATCCTCCCAAGCTTCGTTACCGTTAGAGATCCCTTCGACAGGCGACAACATCTCTTTGAGCTGTGTGGACGTGTCTTAGCGATGGATTATGCTTCAGTGCAATCACCTGACATGGGGTGAAATTCCACCACTGACCACTCTGAGTGGTGAGTGTCGGAATATGTTATATAATTAATGATATTGTATACAAAATATTGCAAAGTATACATACAGAAGTATATATAGTAGTGTGTATATATATAGATACATGACCATTCACATGGGTAGGTGGATGGTAGCACACTTTCGCCAGCGATCCATCAATCATCTCTTGCTTCAGCTTCTCCACTGGTGGTTACTTGGTAACTTGGGCTACTTCAGACTCAAGCTGCCAGTCAATGTTCAATAGTTTGGCTTCAAAATGTGTGGGATGACGAATCAAAAGTACTTCCAGAATTTTGAAATATGGATTGATAATAATATTAATGGATATAATGATGAGTATTGTTGTCAATTATGATGGTTATTATCAATATTGATCATCAATGACTTCCACATTTGTGTGGCCCCAAAAGTGGCTTAGGATTGCCCACTGATTTCATGCTCAGGATTGGTGTCATACATTGGATAGCCAACTTTTCGAGGCTCGATTGCAAGCAGCAATCTCAGCCAAGTGCATTGGGGAGGTGAAGTGGGGACTTCAGCTGTCTTTGGAAAGATGGGAGATGTGAATGTGAGTTTTAAAAAATATATGGTCAAAGTGTGTCTGGAAGTTATGGCAGAGTTCATAATTGAAGACTGTAAAAGTAAGTTTTTACATGCTCTCGACAGAGCAATTCTGTATCACTAGAACGCTTCATGTTTCACAGTTTCTTTCAAGGAGAGAAACTCAGACTCGGACAGAATCCAATTTTTGTTCCGCCATTTGGGCACCAGTATGTGGCTCAAAATAGATCGAACTTAGAGGCTCTAAGTTCCATGGATGAAATGGGGGGTTCTTATTTCATCATATCTGTTTTGGAGGGTCTATCTATCTATATATATATATATATATGCACCAGGCCCTGCCACCCCCCCCTCCCCCCCCCCATATGGGATGGGTCCCATATACTGGTCCCATATGAGATCTTCCCCCTCCCCCCCTGTGGTGTGGTGGGGGTGTGGCACTGTCCCCCTCCCCCCCCTGTGGTGTGGTGGATGGGTCCCATATACTGGTCCCATATGAGATCTTCCCCCTCCCCCCCCTGTGGTGTGGTGGGGGTGTGGCACTGTCCCCCTCCCCCCCCTGTGGTGTGGTGGATGGGTCCCATATACTGGTCCCATATGAGATCTTCCCCCTCCCCCCCCTGTGGTGTGGTGGGGGTGTGGCACTGTCCCCCTCCCCCCCCTGTGGTGTGGTGGGGGTGTGGTATGGTATGGTGGGTATGTATGGTGTGTATGGTCGGTCTGGTATGGCATGTTTGGAAAGTATGGTATGTTTGGTATGTATGGTAGGTATGGTATGTATGGCATGAGTGGTTGGTATTGTATGGATGGTAGGTATGGTATGTAAGTCTGTTGGATATGGTATGTTTGATATGACAGTATGTATGGTCTGTATGGTATGTATGGTTACTATGATGGGTATGGAATATGTCCTATCTAAGGTAGGTATGGTATGTATGGCATGTATGCTTGCTATTGTATGTATGCTATTGTATGTATGGTAGGTGTATGTATGTATGTATGGTATGATAGATATGATATATGGTATGCATGGCATCATTGACATGTATGGTAGGTACGGTATATGTTCAACAGAGGTAGTGTTGTCAGAGTACACAGGTAGTAAACAGGAAGTAGATACAGTAGATACATAGCACATGTATGTATGACTATAGGTAGCACGTAGGTACTTTGAAGGAGTATGTGTGCTACGTAGGTCGCCTAAAAGGTAGCATGTACCTAGTAAATGCGAGGCTGGTAGTCAGAAATGCTGCAAAGACCTAGCAAATACGACGCCGGACCTCAGAAATGCTGCCAATAGCTTGCAAATAGAAGGGAATTGGGGCTACTACCTGGGGACCCAACCCATGGGGGGGGGGGTGGAGAGACGGAGGACGGGACCATATATATATGATTATATACCCTCTGGTAAACTAACATAACCATCATGGAAAATCACCTTTTTTGATGGGTAAATCCACTATAAATGGCAATTTTCAATAGCGAACTGTTAGTTTACCAGAGGGTATGTATGATTTATTGCACCACACCATTCATCCTGAACCATCCCATTTCTGATGCGGCTTCAGCAATCAGAAAGAACCAAAAAAAAGCACCATCATCCATCATCATCGAAACCATCATTGAAACCATCAAAACCACCAAAGCAAAAAACGTGTGTGTATATAATATTATATATGTTATATACAATATATATATAATATTATATTATATATATATATAATATTATATTATATATATATATTATATATATATATTATGTATATATATATATATGATTTTTACAGAACCACCATGAAACCATCAACAAAAACATCAGAAACCCATCAAACGAAGCATCAGCCGACCAGCCCTCAGGAGCGCTTTGGCTCTCAGCCGCCAACTTCTCTCGCGGCGGCGAGTCTCAACTTCTCTCGCTGCAACCTGGATGATGAGGCGCGGTGGGAGGATTGGATATCAACCTGAGGAACTTACCCATGGAAAAATGAGAACACATGATAAAGCCGGTGGGTTTTATCCAGAACACATGATAACAAAAGCTGAAATTTTATGATTTAGGCATTAGACGCATTAGACATTGTGATTTAATGCTGATTTACGCATCAAACATGGTGATGCAATGCTGATTGATAGTCATTGATAGCGATTTCTCCATGATTTCCATGAACAACACATGGACATCTGAGGCACCAAAAATGGTGGATGTTGTCATTAAAACAAAGCACTAAAGTTGTTTTCAAAAGGGATAAATCCTGGATTTACCCTCAAAAGGTCTCAAAATTCACCCATATTCATGGATGAAATTTACGCTCCTTACGCTTGGCTTTGACGTCGACCGGACACCTTTTTTTCTTAACTTACCCAGAGGAGCTGACTTAAAACTGGTGATTTCACTGATTTCACCATCATGGGATTCATGGGATGTAACAGAATGTAACCGTGTAACCATCCAGCATGTAGTGAAGATAGTGAAGAAAACTACGAATAATTATTGATTCCCGCGAGGATCTAGAAGATACGGTTGAGATATTGGGGACAGCACGGGGTATGTGCAAGGCATGTGTCTGCGAAACATCCTTTGGAAATCCCAAATGCTTCCGATGTGTTCCGGGAAAATTTGCCTTAGGTGATACGCAGGGACGGGCCCAAACTCAAATAAACTCAGAGCCCAAGGTTGTAAATCACAGCGATTTTTTTGCACACCTATTTGCGCAGCAGCTCGACACACAGTCTCTGTCTCTGCAGGTTTTTCTGCAGACTGCAGCACCGATTCTGTGCCCACTGAACCAAGAACGTTAACCCAGGAATAATAAAGCCAAGATATAGTATTGAAAGTTATCATTAATTGTGATATAATGTTTCTCTTTTATGGGATAGTGGACATTCTTTAACCCCCGGTGTTGCTGCACAAGTGGAAATCGCATCACCGCGAAACCCAAAAGCGGCGATACTGGTCATCTCTCAACGTGAGCTGCCTCGAAGTCTTGGCCTGCCAGCGCGCAAGGGCAATAAAGCCATGTTAGTATTAGTCATGAGCTGTAATCGACCATGTCATATGTTATCATAGGTTGCTCTGGCTGTTGCACTGGCCATCCTCATATATATATATATATATATCACACGTATATCAATATCAAACAGGCCCGGCCCCGCTGGCACAAAGTTGTACCACGCCGTGCTATCCCACAAAAAGCTCTGCCACTTATATATATATATATATATATGCCATCATCTGTTGTTCTGGGAAATTGGACACGGGCAAAAAAGAAAAGCAACCAGTCAGTGGATGCACCATTTGCCTGACAGCCCTTTGTTGCCGAAAGCGGCCATACCCACAACTTGGAACCGGTACCGGCACGGTCCTTTTGAATTCCAAGACTGTGAGTCAAATAATCATAATACACACACATATGTTTTTGTTGATCAAACACACCCGCATCATAATATACATGTATATATATATATATATATATACATATGCATATATACGATACACATGGGCATACATACACACACACATTTATATATATATATACAAATACCTATTGGAACTGGAACTACAATCCGCCGACCCCGGCTGGAACAAGGGGGAGCGCATGAGTGATCAATCCAACAGTTTGCATATGCAACATACCACGAGATATAGTCACCTCTTCTTGCCATTTGCAGAAGACAGATATCGATGGAAGTTGCTTCACCCCAAAGTGAAGTAGTCAACCAAGCTTAGGGACCATGCTGCTGCGGACGTGTAGACCAATCTGGACTACATATCTCTTGGGAAAAAACTACATTGGAACTAAAAACCGCTGACCCCGGTTGGAACAAGGGGGAGCACGTGAGTGATCAATGGAAACAGTTTGCAGCTGCAACAGGAATTCGGCCTGGCCTGAACATGGCATTTCTTTCCATCCTTGGTCACCTTCCAGCGCGATGGCCAGAAGTGACCCATATCAAGCTGAGTAAAACTCTTCCGATCCCAATTCTCGCGTGTCTTCTCCGCCTGAAGAGTCGACGGATGCGATGACTGCTTGGGGGTGCCCGTGAAAGAAATCAATGCACCGCTATGATATGATAAGTGCACGACAAATTATATACCGCGACAACACTATATGGTCTGGTCTGGAAACACCAGACACTCAGAAATGACTATGGTAAAACCCCAAACAAAACATTCATTTCATAATTATGAATCCGAAAAACCCATAGTCACTCATCTGCATTCTTTCGCTTCCGAGTCTTCTTGCCGCTGCCGGACTCTTGCAACTCTGCGGATAACTTTTCTGCAACCTCTTTGGCTTTCGCTTTGCTCTTGCAAGCAGTCGCAGGCTTCGGCTTGGGGGATGCTTTTGGTCTGCAAGCCCTGGGCCCCCGTTTGGCCTTTGCTTTGGGGCTGGCTTTCGCCTTACACTTACCCTTTGCCTTTGCTTTGGGACTGGCCTTCGCCCTAGCTGCTCTGCGCTTGGGCGCGGCCTTTGGAGTTGGTGCTGGGGACGCAGGCTCATCAGACTCTTCGGCTAATCCATGTTTGGATGATGGGGCTTCGGATTCGGAGTTTGACTCTGATGATGAATCTGAGTCGGGATCATGTTTGTCGGCATCCTTCTTTTCTGTTGTTGGTTTCTCAGCCGCTGCCTCTGTCATGTCTTCCTTGGTACGTTCATCCTTACCGGTGTTCAACCTCACCTCAGGATCATTCACTGCACCGGCACCCTCCTCCTCACTGGAAACATCCATTGCAGTTGCAATGGTTTTTGGTTCTGGCGGACATGGGCCGGCTGGGTGTCCATCTGCAGGTTCTTCTTCTTGGCTTGACAAAATGTCAACGACCAAGTCACACACTCCTTCAACTTCAACTGGGTTGACCTTTGGATCAGTCGATTCTGATTTAGCAAATGCATCCTTGGTGCCATCAGGCTTCGGCTGGTTGCCATCAGCTGCGATCACATGCCTGTCAGGCTGTGACTTGGAAATTGCATCTTTGCTGCCACAAAGCGGAGTGGCATTGGCATTGGCCAGTGTGGCTGCTGTGCTGCTGGACTGTGATGCTGCACCTGTTGTTGGCACTGCAGTTGCATAATCTTTGTTGCCACTGGGCGGATTAGCATCGGCCTCGGCTGGCGTGGCCGCTGTGTTGCTGGGCTGTGGTGTTGTGGGCGCAGCAGGGGCGGCAAGGGCATCATCTTTGCCATCCGGTAGTGCGGCTGTGCTGTTGGGCTCTGACGGTGGTGCACCTGTCACTGGAGGGGCGGCAAGGCCAGCACCATCTTTGTCGCCATTGGGCGTGTTCACATCGGCTGCTGTGGCTGTGGCTGGTGCGCTGCTGGGCTGTGAACCGGTTATTGGCACTCCAGGCGCAGGGCTGGTGTTGGCATCATCGTTGTTGCCACTGGGCGGATTGGCATAGGCTGGCGTGGCCGCTGTGCTGCTGGGCTGTGGTGGTGATGAGGGCGCAGCAGGGGCGCCAAGGGCATCATCTTTGCCATCCGGTGGTGCGGCAGCTGTGCTGTTCGGCTCTGATGGTGACAGGCCTGCAGGGGCGCCATCATCTTTGTTGCCACTGGGCGGATTGGCATCGGCTGGCGTGGCTGCTGTGCCGCTGGGCTGTGGTGGTGCACCTACCTCTGCAGGAGCGGCATCATCTTTGTTGCCATTGGCATTGGCTGGCGTGGCTGCTGTGCTGCTGGGCTGTGATGGTGCACCCGTTGTTGTTGGCACTGGAGGGGGAGGGCTGGCATTGGCATCATCTTTGTTGCCACTGGGCGGATCGGCTGGCGTGGCCGCAAGGGCGCCATCTTTGCCATCCGGTGGTGCGGCAGCTGTGCTGTTGGGCTCTGATGGTGACAGGCCTGCAGGGGCGGCATCATCTTTGTTGCCATTGGCATTGGCTGGTGTGGCTGCTGTGCTGCTGGGCTGTGATGGTGCACCCGTTGTTGGCACTGGAGGGGGAGGGCTGGCATTGGCATCATCTTTGTTGCCACTGGGCGGATCGGCTGGCGTGGCCGCAAGGGCGCCATCTTTGCCATCCGGTGGTCTGGCAGCTGTGCTGTTGGGCTCTGACGGTGCACCTGTCACTGCAGGGACGGCAGGGGCGGCACCATCTTTGTTGCCACTGGACGGATTGGCATTGATTGCGGCAATTGTGTTGGGCTGTGACGGTGCAGCTGTCGCAACTGCAGGGGTGGCATCATCTTCGTCATCCTCCTGACAGCAAGATGAAGCTGAATTCCAAAAAGAATCTGACACTTGGCGGGGCCTGATTTTACCTGAAAAAAGTCTCTGGCCTATTGGTTCTTGTCGGTGAACGAATGGTATAAACTTGTGACGATATCCGCTCTAGCAGCAAAATGATTCAAGTCAAGGCGCCTCTTTGACCTCATCGCCGGTCTTTCGTTTGATCTCCAAAATCTTCTGGAAGGCAGCATGTCCAGCCTACAAGGGTGGGCAGCAGTAGCTGCAATGACACGACAGAAAGCCGGCACGATCAAACCGGGGCCGGAGACCAAACCTAAACATCCTTTGACACTTGAAATTAACAGTGGCAAGGTGGATATTCTGAATGCCTGATGCGAAGGAACAGAAACACCCCAACAGAAGCTCAGCATATTAGTGAGCAACACCTGGCCTTGAGACCGGATTCAAGATGTCTTTGGCTCGGCTGGCAGCACATAACCAGGAGTGTTTGAATACTTTGGATTGCATTCTCGAGATGCTCATCACTGCATTGGTACTCCGTCATACCCAACCATGACAAAGATGTCGATATTTCATCCGGCTCTGACATAGCAAATTCTGCAATGACGCATGCCTCTGGGATCCACAGAAAATCTCCCTCGACCATTCGAACAGCGAGCCCTCCAGCTTCATCGAATTCACTCATGTCCATACGCAGCATGTGATGGGTCATGCTGGCAACTGTCACAGGGGTTCCTGGTGATTTTGCCCGTATGCTTGCTGCCAATGATGTGTAAGGTGCGGCCACTACAAGTTTTCCCCCTGAGAGCTGGAACTTGGCTGACGGCTGTAACAGATCACTGACATTCGCACATGACCACGAATTCTTGTAGTAGAGCATCTTCATGGCAAGCATCCTGATTTCAGTAGCGGATAGAAGAATCCATGTTTGATACGCACGGTGTTGAGTGTTGAGTGCTATGTGTTGCAGTTGTTTCCCTTTATCATGAGTCTGAAATCGAAAAAGGTAAAAACGACTAAACTGCTAACTTGTCTGAAGTAAATTTCAAAGTTCTTCTTGATATCCCCAGCATGCGCGTTGTTCTTCCACCGCGTGTCCACAAACTGGTCCACCATACTGCAACCAGCCACACTAAACGCAAGCTGCTTGAAAGACTCGCTCTTCAATGCCTCAAATGTTCTGTCTTCATGGCTGGTGAGTGGACAGGTAAAACTCTCACACGTAAACATAGCTAAATGCGATTTTGAACGTATCATCCTTCCATTGTTTGGTTTGCCATGGTTGAATTTTGATTGCGGGTAAAGTCAAGTCACAGGAAATCTCTTAGAGGTGTGCGAGATTTCAAAACGGCTTGGCACTGCAGCAATTGCATAAACACTTTGGTTTCTAGACTCCTAGACATGGAAAACATGCCGTCACCAACTGCAAAGCGAGACACTACAGAACTGTGCGCGGATTCCATGTCACGCCTCTGCTTGACATCCTTTGCCCTGTCAGACTGGAGCTCCTCAACAATTTCAGTCCGTGGCAAGGCACCAAGTTCAGGCAATGGAATAGATGATGCAAAGTATGCGGCAGTCGTGTGCTTGGACGGGTCAGACGGCAAACCGTCATTGACACAACCATAGGAGAAGGCCACATCTTCTCCCTCAGGAGTCTCTCTCCTCACCTCCGCGAATGCAGCAGAGATCTGCCGCAGGAGATTCAGCTGATCTTCTGGTAAATGTTCCATCGAAGCAAGCACCACAGGTGCTGTGGCTTTTGGCTCGTCTTCCACAGCTCCAGGTTCCTCTTCGGAATTGCCTAAACCACTGATGACCAACGATCAGACAAGACTTGGCTAACCCCAGCACAGAGGCAGCCAGAAGACAACAATACTTAATTGGCAAAGTAAACCCCGGCACTAGACAACAACACTTACTGCGCAACAAACTAGATACCTTCCTCTTCCCGCTGCACAGAATTCAAGCGATCACAGGCGTTTGACAAACCCTGAAGGTAACCGTTCATTTTTTTCTTGAAGCCCTTGATCGATGCTTCTTTCAGCGGCCCCTCTTTCTGGAACACGTCGCTCTTGATTTGTCGGGAAGAAGGCGACAACTTTGACGGAGAGTTTTTCTCTGAGGCGAAGGCAACCAACTGCGCCCATCTGTTCTCAACAAGGTTCCTATAATCTGCCAAATTGGTGTTCGAAGCACATGCCACCAGTGACTGCTGTATGCTGTCACTCCACTCATCGACGGTGCTTGCCTAATGGATGATATGGCATGGGAATGGTCGCAAGCAAATCATGGAAACCAAGAAAATCCATACACAGTATCTTCCAAAACGCCAAGGCTAACAAGAAAATACTTGGCCACACCTAGTTGCCGCATTGCGCTGGATTGAGATTTGCTGGCGCTTCAAATCAAGTTGAAAAAGTTCTTCATCACCCTTGCGTTTACGGGCTTTGGGCGTAGAAGGATCCTCCTCTGGTTTCAAAGACTTTGCTTTTCCCTTTGCCTTGGCCTTGCCTTTCCCTGTTTTGACACTACCCCCACCAGTGAGGGCCAGAGGCTGGCTAGTCCCAGGCAGCAAGGGCATCGACTGGAAGTGGTTCATTCCTTGGTGCGCTGATGCATTAACAGTCGCTGGTTAGTTTGAACCTTTCAAGTTGCAACAATAAACATCATCGTTTTTTTCCACCTGGCCAAGGTTTGACCGCAGAAAAATACATATTATATTATATGAGTCTGTGAATGAAATGTGAAGTATACAACACACCATGTCATGTGAGAGGGAGGAACCAAGAACCAGACGGGATTGGTCGAAGATACGCGTCTCCTGGTGCAACGAAGCATTGCCGACAGCACCTGGGCATTGAGCAAAAAAAACAGCAATAAGATTTCTTTATCGCAATCTTCAGCAACATGAACACCCGCAGGAACTGAACCCAAAAGACAAACACATGGACATTGTAAATACGGGTAGGTAAAACAAGGAACTGGAGAGGGTTGCTTCCATATCATCCGTCTCAACTTGCTCCTGTTGCCGAACACCCTTCGCACTTGTCAATTCCCTGGCACTCGACGCAGTGGCTACCCGCAACAAAGACACTGTCCACTCACCGTACTCATCCTTGGCCCAAACAGCCATAGGGTTGCTTTTCGCAGCCTCCCATTCAGCTTGAAAGTCTGCATCTGCCCATTCGTATCTGGACTTCAGATGTGCAATGAACCTGGGACGATCAGCCATATCTTCAACAATATGTTGCTAAAAACAGTTCTCGGTTTACAAACAAACATGGGCCACTGCCCCTGAGCAGCTGATGACACATAAAAATTGAAAGCGATATGTAGGGCTGGAGGCTTAGCAACTGCTTTTTGGTCATGAAGGGCTTGTCTGATTGCAGCTTCAAGGAGTCTGTGCAAGTAACTTCCTCATTAACCACAACACGACGCCTATGACCTTTACCAGCTCCTTTGTCCTTGTTCTGGATGATCAACTTTCGCCGCTCCTCTGTGGACATGGCCTCCCAATCCTTAAGACGCTCGGCTTTCGAAAACCACGTCCTCAAAGCTTTGCGGGTACTGTGGCACTTTTTGCATCTTCGCCAGATGCAACGGGCACCTCCAGCGGAGACTGAGTCGTCTAAAGCGACCAATTCTTCGCAATCAGTGCACCTGAGAGGGCTGCCCAAATTCTATCTCATTCCACTCACTCTGTGAAAACATAGCTGCGCATAGCCGCATGTATGTTGGCTCATTGGAGCGACAGATCGACACCGAAGACAAGATGCTTTGGAAGAGAACATGTTTCAGAAAATCGTTTTAGGCAAGTAACTCTACTTCCTTGTTGTTTTTGGCTGAACTCGGCACGGATCCTTCTGGCCCATCCTCACGCTTACTTGGCGAAGACATCCCACCACAAGCACGGAGGCGCCACAATAGCGGAGACGAAACTCCAGGCAGACAGATGATTGATGATTGCAAAATGCAATTTGGCTCAAATGCTGCAAAATGGGGAAAAGAATGCTTGACTTAAACTGAAGTTGACAAGTACGACTTTGCACTTGACAACTGCGAGCTCGTGATCTCAATAGGCTGTTTTTTCAGCAACATTCTATGACAATCTGTCCGCAAACAGTGAAGGAAAACACACATCAGCGTGATCTGTATCTGCCGAGGCCGAGATTACCCCGGCCACAACAGCCAGCCATGCACCAAAAAGCTGTCACCAAACATGAATATCTTTGACCTTTTGGTCAAATAGCACTGACATGCCTGGGCAAATTAATTCAGTTTCTTCTCACAAAAAAAGATTGCGTGAACGCATGCCCGCCCGATTGCAGCAGCATGCATGCTGTTGCCAGCGAGCTTACCTGTCATGGATTTCAGGAGACCCGAGGAAACACTAACATTGACCAGTCACAAATCAGAAGCAAACATAGTTTGACTTGAATCCATCCAGAGATGAGGCACTCAAAGCAGAGTGGCTCAGCGACCCCACGTTCAGAACCCGGATTCCCATTTGGTGAGCTGTACGTGGTTCGACTTGAAGGCCATGAGAGTAAAGAAGCTCAATGCCATCTTAGTCAGTTTCATGTTCAATTTCAAGAACCAAACGTAAAGCACGCATTCCAACACACAAACACATAGAGACAAATCCGGCTGAAACTAAGACTGGATCGAATGAACCTTCCATACATGGTTGACCATAGGCTGGACACCCCAGTTGTTAGGGTCTGTAAAAACCCCTTTTTGGTTGACATCCTTGCTCTGAACTCTGGGTTCTGGAGGGTATCATACACGAGTCTCCCAGGAAAATCTCTGTAGTACTTCTCGAGTCCTTGGCATGTCCACCGGGGACAACAATTCAATTCAATATATCGAATATTGAAACTTCTCCTGTGACTGTTACTGTGGTTCTGAGTGTCAAGCTCTTTTTCTTTCCTCCATCGATCAACTTCAGCAGTTCAACATCGAAGGCGGCATTCTCAAAGCCACCAATCAGAAACATATCCATGTTGATGCTTGGTGGGATTTCCAAATGAAGGTCAGTGACAACTTCTTGAAGACCACAGCGTTGCCTTAAGCCATGCGCATCGACAGATAAGAGGTTTTCTTTGCATTCGGGTTGCCAAATGAACCATGTGGTATTTCAAATTGACCTAACATACCCTCAACATGGCCCAAATTAGCGTGTTCCTTTAAAGCCTTTATTGCAGCTAAAAAGAACGCACCATTTTTGGCCCAACATAGGTCCATCATAGCCTCCAAACGGCCAAACATAGGCCCAACATATGGCCCAGCATAGCCCAATAAAGGCTCAAGATAGCACCAATATGGTCCAATCAAGGCCCTACATGAGCCCAACATGACCCAACTTGAGCCCAACATAGGCCGTTCCAAGCCCAATTTCTTCGCGCTAAAAATTATATAATTTTTAGCGCGAAGAAAAGGGTCCAAAAATGGCCCCTCATCGCTTCCAAATGACCCAAGATAGGCCCAATATGGCCCAATAAAGGCCCTACGTGGGCCCGACGTGAGCCCAACGTAACCCAACTTGAGCCCAACATAGGCCGTTCCCGCGAAGAAAAGGGTCCAAAAATGGCCCCTCATCGCTTCCAAACGACCCAAGATAGACCCAATATGGCTCAATAAAGGCCCAACATCAGTCCCATCATCCCCCTCATATGGCCCAACATAGTTCACATAGCCTTCCAGATGAACCCCAACGGCGGTACGTCCCCGTTGGAGTTCAAAACCTAACCCCACATGCACCCAAAAGCCATCAACATTGATGTTGCCTCGGTTTGTCCAGGCAATTCAATTCTTTTTTTGGCAACCTGAATGAACAGAAATGTCCTTAGTTTTGGACTCCTTCAGGTACCAACTGAACTGATG